ACAGTCTTCACACATTTAACTTCCTGTATTCTTTTATTGATCAAGATATTTTCCACTGTTGAACAGTCCTTTAAAGGAAAAACAGGGGAGTTTGCAAAAGAGATTAAGTATAAAAGTTATTAAATGTTATGAAGGATTTAGCAAATTTTATATCTACATTAAGACAGAGGGGCAGACACAGATGAGTTCAGATCTGTATCATACAGATTCAGTAAGATGAGAGTAAAGGAGTGATGTCACTATGAGGAAGTGAGCAGGAAGTTGATGCTGTGTTCATCTCTGAGAGCAAGAACAGAGACAGAGAGAGACAGAGAAGCACGATGGCTGCATTCACATGGATTCAAATGTCTTCATTACTGATACTGATGCTTCAGTTTAAAGGTAAGTGTACATAGAAACACATTCAATTAATAAACTGCATTATTATCACAAGTGTTACTTATTTATTCTTCCTTTAACTGAGACAGTCATGATGAACTTTTTGACTTTAGCTGACTCTTAGAAACTAAAGTTGAAACTTAAACTTGTGTTGTATTTAAAATAAACTTCACATTATAAACATAACACTCATATTCATAACATATTTGATGTTTCACATTTCTCTCTCTCTTTTTCTCAACAGGAACAACTGAACAACATCAAACTCTTCAAACTGTCAGAGCTGGACGTGGACATAATGTTACTCTGCCTTGTAACACCTCGTTACAAGGTCAGCATAACTGTAACAGTACTACCTGGATCTTCAGTGATTCAAGTAAAACGCCAGCAGTATCACTCTTTGACCTTGGGCAGATTAAAGAAGCCAAACGTAAATCAGACAGACTGAGTCTTTCTGCAGACTGTTCTCTGGTTATAAAGAAGGTCACAGATCAGGATGTTGGTCGTTACACCTGCAGACAGTTCAAAAATGCAACAGGACCACAAGAAGGTCCAGACTCTGAGATTCATCTGTCTTTTAATAACAGTGAGTATTTCCATCTTAATGTTTTCAGCTCAAACTGTCCTGTTAGAACAACAAACTGAAACACCACAATAATTATGATCACAGTGATGAAGTTAATTTTTCTGTTGTTGCTTTTCTCTTACAATATCTCCATCTTCACCAGTGTGTGTACATGAGAACAATGATAAAGCATCTTGAACAGCTCTGTGTTGACATATGAACACTGTAGACTCACAGTTGAGTGTCTGTATGAAGATAAAGAGAACATATCCTCAGACATGAGACATCATCAAAAATGAGACTTGTTAGACTGTTAAACATCTCACCACTGTTTCCTCTCTGTTGTTGTTCACTTACTTTCAAGTCTTTCCTTACTGTCAGTGTCTTTAATGTTGTTATTGCATTTTTCTTTAGGTGAAGATGTGACAACGACAACAAAATCAACAAAATCCCCAATTAAACCCACATTAAAAATAACAAACATGTGGACAATGAAAGAAGAAGTAAAGACATCAGAAGGAATGGTGACAATAGCGTCAAATACTCCATCAGCAGGTAGAGACTGAATCATTTACTCAAGCCTAAAGTCTCCAGATTGACTCTGTGGTTTTGATGGAGAGTTTCTTTGGTTCAGTTTCATTTAACAACTTAAAATCTTTAATGGTATGAGGTGTTTACAGGGTTCCAGTGTTACAAATCTTTAACAAAAACATTCTAAATTATTTGAAACTTGTATTGATAATAAGAAAGATTAGTGAGTGTTAGCTGATTTTTGTACTTTTTGTTGTTGGTTTTTATTTAGTATACTTTAATTAGAATTTAGAATAAATACTACAGCTAAAAAGTCCTCAGTCCAAAAACACATTCAATCTTCACCACTGTTAGAAAACTGACTGCTTTTATCACATTTGACAATCTTTTTATTTTTGAACTTAACAAAAATAACATTTACAGTAAAAATGTTTTTATTATTTTCAGATTTTCTGTATTTGTTGAGATGCATCATCGTGTCTGTGGGTTTAGCAGCTCTCTTAATATCTGTTGTTACAGTCAACATGTGGATGAAAACTAAAGGTGAGAATATTCACAGATGAAACTTTTATACATAAAAAGCTTTGAGTTTTACTGTTTACTGTACTCTTTTTTTTATTATTTTTTATTATTTTTATTATTTTCAGGAAGCAAAACACAGATGGAGAAAACCACTGTGAGTTTGAACACTCAATAGTCCTCTCTAACTTTATAGAGCAAAATCTCTTTGTGGTATCTGTTCCTGTTTGACACGGTTGATATGCAAAGATAGAACATAATGAAAGATAAGAATATACTGTGCTGACCATGTTCAACTGAAACTTAACTGTAATCATAAGGAATCTAAAAAACAATCACAAGAGTGAAAACATCAGACGAATGAGCAAAATAATATCACAAAGTATGAATATCTTTCTCGGTCTTGTGGGGGTGACCCAGTGTTTTGTGTTTTGAATCATTAATAGTCTTTGTTTTCATTATTATTTAGAATTTTTAGTCTCTTGGTTTCTGCGCTCTTCCTGTGATCCATGTGTCCTTTGTCTCCCCTGTCAGTCATGTCTCCTTGTCTCAGTGTAAAGTCTGTGTCTTCTTGTTTGACTTTGACAGTCTTGTGTGCCGTGTTAGTTTTTTCCATTTTTCTTCTTCCGGGTCTTGTTGCGTGTGGTTTCTCCAGCTGTGTTT